TCTCAATGTACCTTCTTCTTTTTTATTATAGATTTATTTAAAATTTGATGATTATTCGGAGATCGTGAGATGCGGTCAGGTGTTACGTAGGTTTTAGAAAAACATTTTCTTTATCGTGCCAATGTTTCGATCTTTATTGAGATCATCTTCAGGGCTCAAAGTGTTTGTTTTCCGTGTATATGTGTCATTCTTGTCTGTCGTGTTGGGAGTGCCAGTGAGGTATTCACTCGCAACACGACAGACAAGAATGTCACATCTACACAGAAAACAAACACTTTGAGCCCTGAAGATGATCTCAATAAAGATCGAAACGTTGGCACAATAAAGAAAATGTTTTTCTAAAACTTCTTCACACCAGACCGCATCTCACGATCTCCGAATAATCATTAATTAACGGTCACTAAACACCACACATTAAAATTTGATGTTTTCTCCTTGCTCTAGATAAAACCCAACACTTAAACATTGACGTAAAAAAAGAATATTATATTCATTCCGTTGGCGTGAATGTACGAGATATCATAAATTGCTTGTTTACCGATCCTATCTCTTGTCAACAACTCCGTGTTTATCCCGGCCCGGTGTACGCAGGTACATCTCCCGTACTCACAATTTTCTTTCTCAACGAAAATCCCGAGTGGAAAAAAATATGGGAAATCGTGACATTTCCTATGAACGGACGGGATGCAAAGTGACCCGTGGTCCGGTTGAAGTAATCGACGAACGATCGGAAACCGACTGGCCCGTTGAGAGAGCCGTTACTTTTTAATGGAATGCCAAAGTTTATATATCCAAATAAAATTAGTCCAAATCGTTGTTTCCATTTTGAAAAAAAAAAATTGTCGTCTGAGGTCTTGAACCTAATTACAACATGCGGAAATGAAACTCAAGAAGAGGTAATGAGTATTGGGCTTCACGCCATCTTCATTTAGGAGCTGTTCCTAGTGGAGTCTTTCGCGTTTTTTAAAATCTAGTGCTTTATAAATAGTTTTATTGGCGTTTCATATAAAAAATCCAATGCGTAAAGGTAAAATTTTCGAAGAAGACATAAGTTAAACTGATCAACAATGATCACTTTACTGGTCATTCGCATTGGTTTTCGTTGCACTCATACTCGTTTAGACATCACGTCATCTTCAGTAAGAATACTCGTGGAGAAGTCATAGCGTCTACTAGTATTTTTCAAATATATTTATTTGAGAATAATCGTAAAGATATTTTTTACAAAAGCTGACCTTTTGAACAATTTTAATTTATTACAATTAATTAAAGTTTTTAGTTGAGATAAAAAAAGTCAATGGCACGAGCGGGATTCGAATCCACGATCTTCGGCTTGATACGCCGCTGCTCTACCACTTGAGCTATCGAGACCTCGATCCACTCGGACACCAACTTCCCATCTCAACCGTACTTTTCGAATTTTCAAGCCGAAGATCGTGGGTTCGAATCCCGCTCGTGCCATTGACTTTTTTATCTCAACTAAAAACCTTAATTAATTGTAATATATTAATTGGTAAAGCGGACCACAAAATTAGTGAATTTAATGTTAATTTATATTAAATTTAAAAAAAATTCGCCACTAATGTACAATTATTACTTAAATTAATTAGTATTAAAAATACGTAATACTCGTAATACTCCGTAACTTTTAGCGATAATTTTTTGAAATATAATTATTGGACAATATTTATTGAGATTAGTCACAAGAATTCTATTTTTCAGTAGTAATTTTAAAAATAAATTTATTGATTAATTTTTAGTGACTTCTAGTAATGTTGGACAACTTTTAGAAGTAATCCTAAATATATATTTATTCTTTAATATTTATTTCTTATTTTATTTAAACAATTTAAGTTTAATAACGAGGACTCCACATATTTCAGTTGTAATTTTAAAAATAAATTTATTGATTAATTTTGATTGACCTTTAGTTAACGTTCGACTCTACAACTTTTGATAGTAATTTTTAAAATATATTTATTTTTCAGCACTTCTTTACATTTAGTAAGGAGGGCTCTATAACTTTCAGTAGCAATTTAAAAGAAAATTTATTGGTATTTTTATTGACATTTAGTAACAAAACATTACAACTTTGAGTACTGATTTTAAAAATATATTTATGGGTCTATATTTGATGACGTTGAGTTGCCTAGGATTCGTGCGCTTTTGTCAATAAATACCGTTTAAATATATTTATTGGTAAATATCCATCAAAATCTTTTTAATTAATTTGATACTATCATGACTTATTTATTTTTGTTGGTTACACAAGTTTAAACAAAACAACCCACAAACATTGAATCGATCATGTTTTTGAACTTCTAGAGATAATTTACTTTCAGAAATCTTAAGAATCCTTTACTTACTTTATGGAAAATAACGAAAGTTTTTAATTTTGCAAATTGCTTATGATAATTTCAGTTTATTTATTTACCTATTTATTTGAAACTTACGCATGACAATTAGTCATTTTTATGTAGAAAAATATTATAAAAAAGTTCTTCACTTAAATTCACATTCCATATTAAGTTAGTGTAAATCATATTAATTCGGTCCACAGATATTTTCCTACTACTAATTAAAAATTAGTACAAACATAAATCATGTTTATTCCTTCTTTGTAGGCAAATTATTGTTTTGAGTAAAAAAAAAGCTTCCATCCTATTTTTGTCTATTTCTAAATATGAGCTTTCCACGAATTATGACAGTCCAAAAAGTACAAAAAGAAACGGAACGAGACTTGAAACATAATGTTAAAAAGACACTCAGAATATATTTTTATAAGAGCAAGATTCGCTATTTATTTATTATGTATTGTTTAAAGTTATGATTATTTGGAGATCATGAGGTGCAGTCTGGTGTGATGTAGATTTTTAGAAAAACATTTTCTTTATCCTGCCAACGTTTCGATCTTTATTGAGGTCATCTTCAGGCCCTGTGATTTATAAACATTGTTTAAATGTTACAAATACATGTAGGATGTGAAAGAAAAATGAATTTATACAATGCTAGAAAATGTTTTGGATTTAAAAAAAAATTATACAATGAAAGAAAATTTTAGATTTTAAAAAATAATGAATTTATACGATGCTAGAAGACTTTTAGATTAAAAAAATGAATTTGTTTAAAATTTAAATTATTTATTTTTCTTTTGTGTTTACTACAATAGCATTTGGCGATTATTGTTTTTTTTTTTTGGTAACTTTTTTAATCACAGTAAAACTTATTTTAGTGAATGACTACTTAAGAAAGGTTAACTCAAAGTTTACGTCTGACCGAACGTACTTAGTGCTTAAAAGGACTCGATTTTTGGAAAAGGCGTGTCAATCACCTCAAAAATTTTCAATCGGGTATTACAAGGAGGAGAGATGGGTAAAATTTTATACCCCTGTGCTAAGTGAGGATTTGATTGATTTTGATCAAATTTTTAAAGCGAAATAACGATTAAAAACATACGCGATTCGTTTAATTATAACGTCCATTATATTTCGTGGTCCGATTGACCAAATAACTTCTTACAATTAATTAATCTTTTTATGTAAGGTCCTGGTTGAGATAAAAAAGTCAGTTTCACGAGCAGGATTCGAACCCACGACCTTCGGTTAAATACGCCGCTGTAGAGCAGCGGCGTATTAAGCCGAAGGTCGTGGGTTCGAATCCCGCTCGTGACACTGACTTTTTCATTTCAATCAATACTTACATAAAAACATTATTTAACTATAACATTGATTTTGTTTACAATTTTCTCCTATCAGGATAAACAATAATTTACGTTTCTATCGCAATCGGCCTAGATTTAGAAACGTTGCACAACTTATTGTATATTCAAGGTCGGCATATTCACAACAGATCTCAGGTAAAATTGATTTTACTTCCTCCCTGCCAACAAAGATGTAAAATAAAGTGTTTGCACTGGATTGATTAATAGGTCCGGTGGTGTAACAAGTCAATATGTCATTATATAATCCCGATGACGATCCATCACCGTGACCGTGATGGATAAACGGTAGACAATCTACCTTCATGCATTGTGCAAGTGAGGTAGAAAGCCCCTGACTCTTAAGCACTTTCTCGTCTTTAAACAAGTTATATATCATGAGAAAAAAAAGGTTAGATATATCGGAAAATTTGAACGTTCGAGCGAGTTTGATACGGTGGTAGAATGAATTTTTATCATTTTAATACCGTTTGATAAAATTTTATGTGTATTCCGAATGAATATCTGTGAAATAATTGAATACTCTTAATTGATTTTTAGTATTTGTAGCTTTTTCGAACAATAAAAAGCCGGGACTTCTCTTCCTCCAGGCTTAACCACCGCAAGAACAACCCTATCAAGAATAGGCCATGCTAAGTTGGCACACCTTTGGCCCAAAGCCCGCTTATGTGCCCAGGATGTAGAAAAAGTTTACTTGAAGGGTGTAATTCTTTGGCTCCATGTAGAGAGCGTGTAGGAAGCCACCCCATATGAAAATCATGCTCGAGCAAGGCAGCGCGTATCTGACCTCCCCGTTCAAATTGTTGGAGAATATAGGGTTATTTTATTGTATATAATACTGATAGTTCTATCTCCCTAGCATGAGTTGAGAGCGAATGTAATTATTAGCGTGAATGTTTATTGTAAGAATGCCCAGGTGGAATATTGAGGACCCCATCGGCCCTCAATTAGATTAGTTGTATAATATGGGTAAGGGTGATAGAGGAATATCAAGTACTCCATCACCCTAATTGAATGTTAATAGGAGTAAATGTATCGTATTTAAGGATGAATGTGAGTATGAATGGGTTTGGAACCACATGGACTGGGGGACCTAGCTGTTGACAGCACCCTCCCCTCAGAGCCGAACCTCAGTGGCTGGACAGATAAGACCAAGGTCTGACCCCGAGCTGCCAACAGCTGAGGTGGGTGATTCTTGAGTCTGCCAGCAATTTATATTTTAATAATAAACTAATATCAATATATTATATAGAATAAGCAAACAGTTGATTTTCTTTTACAGTATACATTTCTCCTCCTTCTGATATTCCTGATCGAAGTGATGGTTGGGATGCTGTCATACGTCTACAGGGACCAAGTTGAAGTAGAACTCAAACACAATCTCAACGCTACCTTTGTAGAGAATTATGGAGTCTCGTTGAAAATAACTTTAGCCATTGATAAAATGCAACAAGAGGTAAAATTCCTATTAGTATTATTTTCATTGAGATTGTAAATATGTAAAACATAATGTTATAAAATAGTATATCAATACTATTAATTTATATTTTTTAAGAATTTAGTTGCCTGGTCAAAAATGAACTCACTCGAAAATGCAACTCACTTGAATCTTAGCAAATAATAGAAATATTTTTATGTGCATTACTCTTTAAATTTATTTAGCCCATCTTAAGTATAAATGTTTAGCAAATTTAAAAAAAAATTACAAGACAAGTTTGTCTTGTAATGTCTAGTAAAAGATTTTTTTAAGCCAAAATTTGTAATTAAAAAGTCTTATATTTTCCATCTAGCAGGCCTAATATGAGTCTCAATTTTTGCTTTGATAATTTTGTTTAACTATTCAAATGTATTTACTGGTAACTGAATGATGTTTAAAAACAAAAACATTAAAAAACCTAATCCTAACCCTACCTAACCTGACCTAACATTTCTTCACCTACCCTAATCCATGTACACTACTTATGCTAATGCAAAAGTAGTCATGCTTAAATAATGGTGTATCCAAGCGAAAAACATAAAATCGACATCCATGCTAATAAAAAAAGAAGCCCACAAAATTGGTGAATTTAGTCGGGAAAAGTTAACGAAATCCAATCAATCCTAACTTCATTTAGCTCAAAATATGTGTTCAATAACATCAAATATACAAAGTAAAAATCAGACTTATTAATTGTCCAAATAAATCTGTTTCTGTCTACTTCTTTAATTATTTTGATCTGGTACTAGACTTCAGAAAGATTTGTATTCAATGCTGCTTAGATTTTGCATCAATTGGAAATATCAGAGATGATTTTTAGTCAAATTTTAGTTCACCCCAGATCATACCAAATATGAAATAATTTTTTTGGTGTGTCAAACCTAATGGGGTATTAAATTCTTTCATATTCTATTTGATCTAGTGAATTAAAATTTGTTTAAATATATTCATCTTTCATTAATGCAAACTTATGTTTGCAAAATTTGAACTGAATTAATACAAATCTTCCTGAAGTCTATGTGCATTGCAAGTACATCATTGGAGAATCAATTACTTGAATTACCTGAGAAAAGAACTTTGTGCAATTTCATTGATGTAATTCAAACTACCGTAATCTTTGCATAGAGTTTTAAACCCACCCCCCACCTTCCAAACCCAGCCTTACTATTCTTCACATAACCTAACATCCATGCATACTTGCAAAATCAATCATTAAAAATTTGTCACGTCAAAAAAAATATATCCAAGTCAATTAAATCTCACCCTCTAAAACTAGTGAATTTAGGGGAAAAGTTAACCTAATCCGATCACTCATGACTTTGGCTCAAATCTATGTGTAAAAATCTGATCACTCTTAACTTCAATTTGCACATAATTTTTGTCTAAGAAACAAAATTCCGACTCATCAATTTTTCTTTGCCCATAACTCTTTGCCTGATGAGGATGATCGAGAACAAATAAAAACAGGTTAAAAAAGCAATTATATCAATTGGCTCATATTGTAAGTCAATAAAAATCAGATTTTTATTTATTTATTTATTTTAATGATTGCTGGGTCCTAAACCATTGCAGCCTCTGACACCCCCATTATCTTATCCCTTGTAAGTTCAAGCTGAAAAAAATATAATAAAAAAATAACATTTTTACTTTAAATTCACTAATTTTGTGGTCCGCTTGACCAATTAATATATTATAATTAATTAAGGTTTTTAGTTGAGATAAAAAAGTCAATGGCATGAGCTAGATTCGAACCCACGATCTTCGGCTTGATAAGCCGCAGCTCTACCACTTGAGCTATCATGACCTTGATCCAAAAATGAAAAAATGATTGAAAACTGGCAAAAAGGAGGGAAAATTCAAAGGTGCGGTTGAGATGGGAAGTGGTGTCCGAGTGGATCTAGGTCACGATAGCTCAAGTGGTAGAGCAGCGGCGTATCTAGCCGAAGATCGTGGGTTCGAATCCCACTTGTGCCACTGACTTTTTATCTCAACTAAAAACCTTAATTAATTATATTTTTACTTTAATTGACTCATATTTGAGCATACACTATTTTAGAAAACCCATAGAAAAAAAATGAAACACGTCATAATTAAAATATATTCTGGTCATTCATTCATTAATAAATCGGGTCTACCTATCCTCATCGGTCAGGTCTGTTAAAAATTATTACACTATTCTCATCATAGGCAATAAAAAGTACCTCACATAATTATTTGTTGTCAAATGTGCAAAACACATAAACACCTAATCCTGGAAAACATAAGAAATGATGAAAACTTGCTCTTATCTGCATATTGATAACTGGAAACACAAGAACAAATTTAAAATCTTATCAACCAACTTCACTTCCTTCATAACCGCATCTTGACTAACTTGGAAAATACAAGAACTATAGTAAAATCCGATTAATCGTAAATTCAACTGGCTCACAACAGTATCTTGACTAATAAGGAAAAAATCTGATCCCTTGTAACTTCAGTTGATTCTTAATTTATTTTTGTAGTTAGGGATGTTTAGTTTATGTAATTTCAATTGGCTTAGAACTGTACATTGTGAAATATCCTACTGTGAGACGAACCTTTAATTTGGTCATTTCTGATCATTTTAGTCAGACCAAGCATACCAAAGCCTAAACATGTCTACCAAACCAAAACAGAAAAGATAACCAGGCGAAAATGATAGTAAATGACTAAAATAGAACTGCATAGTCTAATGTCCAAAAATAAAAGGCTAATTAAACAAATATTAATAAAATATAAACAATTTCAGTATAAATGCTGTGGTGCGACGAGTTTTGAAAACTGGCAATACAGCAGGTGGAAGCTGGAGGGCAATGTGACAAATGATGTTCCTGATTCTTGTTGTAAATCTATGTCTTTTGGGTGCGGTGCTAGCAGCCATCCGAGCAACATCCCTTATTCGGTAAAAAATTTACTTTAAATCATTTTAAATCTAAATTTTATGAATATGTGTTAATCTAATTTTTTTTCCCCAGGGGTGCATTCATAAGTTTTCGGAAGTGTTGATGCAGCAACTTGTAATAATATGTGCTGTTGGCCTGGGATTAAGTGTGATACCAATATTTGGCATGTTACTCTCATGCTTTTTATATTTCAAGCTTAAAGATTCCGATGAATAATATTGTTACAACAATTATTTTCTTCATCATTTTATGAGGGTTATTTATTTTACTATTGAAAAAATGCTAGATTTTTGCTAAATGTTCTTAGGTGTGGTGAATATTTATAAAAATGTAACTCACATAACGTATCAAATTTTCTTTTTTACAAAGTTTTTGTTTAATTTTTGACATATCGTAACAATCAATATTATCCTTTTCTTTTCACATATTTATTTAGCCAATATGAAATCAAGTTTTTCCTTTTTTTCAGCATTAACTTAACTCTTTTTATTCATAAAATTGCCTCAAACCAAAGATTCAAGTGGAAGAACTTTTGTAATGATCTAGTACAACTTTGTGTAAAAAGAATACTTTTGTACATATTTCCTATTAAATTAAAAATAAAAATGTTTATATTTGTTTTCTCTCTTAGAGATGATTCAATTATTTGAATTTATGTAATTTAGTTTTATGGTTTCGTTGTGGAACTGAAGAATCTCTAGCTGCATAATTTTACAATGTACTTAATGCTTTTATTTTTGTTTTTATATACAATTGTCCAATTATTTATGTCAATATGATTTGTCTTCTACCTACAATAAGGAAAATTTCAATATAGTTGTTTTACGATGAAATTATATGAATTATATTTTTTCTTGAATGTCCCTGTGTTCAATTTTTTTTTCTTCCCCACTGATAAATTATTTTCCCCTTAATTAGTTAATTATAACTACTTAGTCAACAAATCTGACAAAAAAATTATAACAATAATTGCCATATGAGAGGTCTTAATTTTCAAGCTCAGAACCACTTTATAATATTTTTTCCAAATCAAAATTCCAAGGGTTACGTTATTTGAGCTCAACCACCACAGCTCACTATTTCCTCAATATTACACACTCCGATAATAGCAAATCTACAGGGGCATCGGTGGCCGCAACGGTTTAGGCGTTGACTCGGCGCTCATCACTGTAGGGTAAAGGTCCCGTGTTCGAAACCAGTGGCCCTGCATTCGAATCCGACATACTTACAAATCTTTTTTTTTTTTTTTTTTTCAAAAACACTGGCACCCTGAGGATTTATATGACCTCTGCTGTTGCGAACCTTTGTTTAAAAAAATTTAAAAAAATAAATAAAAATAGCAAATCTACAATGAGAATAGTTCACCTAATAAAATTAATTTCAACCTCAAATTAGTATGTAGTTATTTTTGAATATTTCAGAGCTGTTTGTTAATAAAGAGGTTTTTTCTGAATTTCTAACAAGTGAATTGTTTTCAGACTAAGAATACTGTAAGATCTGTATATATGTAAAAATGTTCAGACTAAGGATTCGGCATAAATAAATCACAGAGTTCTCTTTATATTCAATAACAACCTTTAATTTTGATAATGCATATTCCTGTAATATTTAAGCAATTTCTATCAACTGTTTAAAATTTCATTATCTCAGCTTAAGAATATTAATTTAAGTACTCCAACAGCAAAACTGTTGGTGGTTAAACCAGCATGAATGTAATTAGATAGAAAAGACATGTTGTCAATCCAAGTCTTAAATTTTGGAATAAAAACTATTTAAATTTCCAATAGTCCATATTGCCAATTCTCTGATCATCCTAGTCTACAGCTTTGATTTTGTTTTGTGAAATACCTTTCAGCATTATTCCATATTCAGTGATTGGACCACGTGTTATTCGGTCAACCGTATCATTTTTATAAATTCTATTAAAACTTGAACACAGATAAAATCGAATAAGCAGATGATTGTACAAGATGAAAGTACAATTTGACCAGCAAGCGTAGACTGACATTATTTTACCATTATTTTAAATGTTGAGTATTCTTCATGTGGACTGTGACCTTTAATTTAGTCATTCCCGGTCATTTTAGTCTTTAATCATTTTAGGTAAATGAAAATGATCAGAAATGAACAAACTACATTATTTACTCTGCAAACCAAATTTTAATTAAAATTTATAAAACAAGAATAAATTTTATGAAATATATGTATTAATGTAGGGAGGGACAATGATATCCGAGTAGTCAGCGAAATAGACCCTGTGGTTGTGCGTTCGATTCCCTTTCTCACCCCTACCCCTTTTTCATGCTACCCCCCCCCCAACTATTTATGATGAAATAATCAAAGGAATCATACTCTGACTAATATGCAAGCTCATAAGGCCATTAAATAATAATAACAATATAAAAAATTTATTAATTTTTTTTGCTTTTATTTTTTCACAGATCAGTATTTTTGTTATGTGGTTGTAATCTCTCTTATATTTGAATTTGGATGCATGGTTAAAATGTTCTGCTTATTAATTAAGGTTTTTAGTTGAGATAAAAAAAGTCAGTGTCACGAGTGGGATCTGAACCCACGACCTTCGGCTAGATACGCCGCTACTCTACCACTTGAGCTATCGTCACTTCGATCCACTCGGACACTAACTTCCCTCCTTAAAAAATGGCAAAAAGGAGGGGAAAATTCAAAGGTGGGGTTGAGATGGGAAGTTAGTGTCCTAGTGGATCGAAGTCACGATAGCTCAAGTGGTAGAGTAGTGGCATATCTAGCTGAAGGTCGTGGGTTAGAATCCCGCTCATGACACTGACTTTTTTATCTCAACTAAATACCATAATTAATTGAAAGATATTAATTGGTCAAGCGGACCACGAAAACTAGTGAATGTTCTGTTTATTTTGAGCGATCCGGACCTAGACAGTATACTGGTATGCTGTGCCACAGACTTGCCTCCTTTACCTAAAAATTTATTTTTGTTACCATTAGGGCAGACAAAGCCGCTTATTTTCTCGATTAATCCGAGTTGTCCCCTGTCTTTTTACAAGGTGCAAATTAATGTGAAAATTCAGAAATCTTCAAAATCAATCTATTTAACTTCAGAATGGAAGCTCTCTATGATCTTGCTATATTATCAATCAACATCAATAATAAATAAGAAACATCTACTACATTAATTATTTCATATATTAATAAAACATTATTTTATTGAGAGAAGAACTCCAAAAAAGCTCATTAAGTTTGCTCAATACATTCATCAATTTTGATAACTTAACTAGGTAATAAATAAAGCATGCTGGAAAAACACTTTCCTTTTTTCCATCCAACTTTCATTACAAAGTCAATTATGGTATAATTGACTACTGGCAAGGAAATTTAAAAAAGTAGGAAAAATTCAATCACAATTTTATTTTATTTTTAGATTATTATTACATAAATAGAATTAAATTTTTTATCTATATACAATTTTTTTAAAATTTAAATATTATTTGTGAGCATTTTTTTGTTTCTTGAAATATTATTTTTAACAAACATTCATAACATATTTACATAAGTTTGATTTTGTTTTTTGTCTCAAAAACAAAAACTTAGAAATATTAGTTTTAAATACAACACAGTCCAAAAACAAAGTATGCCAACAGTCAGATTGTATGTACAAAAGAAATTGTTAGTCGTATATCTTTTCAAAATGGAAGTCTTTTTAACATACAAAAAAAAAAACATCAAAATTTTACAGTTTATTTTGATAGTAGTCTCCACGTAATAAGTCGCATTTTTGTAAAGTTTTTCATAACACAAAAAATATAAAACACCTTTCATATAAATTTTGAATTTTTAAAATACTTTTTCTTTTAACTTTTATTTTTTTTTATATTTGATCTCAATTTGATTGAGACAATGCAAAGACAATCACAGTTAAATGTGTAAGTAAATAAGGTAACGTTTCCAGCCCAAAAGAAAAAAAAAAAAAAAACCGACAATAATATGAAAATACTAACAATGTTACAAAATTCATACCGTTTCACCTATGCATATGCATTTACATTTATATTGTACATATATATTGTTAATTAAGTTTAATTATGCCTAATGACTGAATATTACACAAGGTTTTAATTTCAATTAGATCACAGCTTATAAAAACCACCTGCGGTTTTCACCACTGCAATGGCACCACCTAGAAATTTCCTACAGATGTATAAAATTTGTTTAAAAATCCACCTCCTATCGATAGGAACTTAGAGCTTATTTAACAAATCAAATAAATCACAAGATTGTTTTATGTTTATATTATAATTTACATTGTTTAAAATTAGTGAGTATTACCAGTCTTATTTACAAATTCTTTAAAAGCTTTCAAATGTATTTAAATAACGATATTTTGTCTTTTGTTTTTCAAAAATACTTTTTTGGGGTCATTCATAAACAATAAAACACACAGCGGTGCATATAATGCAATGTTTTTATGTCAAATTGCTTTACTTTAAAATTTGATTTAAATCAATATCAATTATATATATGTAATTTTTTTTTCTCAGGTTGAATAAGTGATTAACGATCTAAATACTCAGTTTAAAACAATAATTATTCAGAAATCGTGAGATGCAGTCTGGTGTGATGTAAATTTCAGAAAAACATTTTCTTTATCGTGCCAACGTTCGGTCTTTATTGAGATCATCTTCAGGAAATGTGGAAAAATATTGATTGAATGTAAAGAATATATTTTGCATTGTATAAATTCACTTTTTTCCACATCCTACATGTATATGTTAAATTTAAACATGTTTGTAAATCCCAGGCTCTGAAGATGATCTCAATAAAGACCGAAACGTTGGCAATATAATGAAAATGTTTTTCTGAAGCCTACATCACACCAGACCGCATCTCACGATTTCTGAATAATTATAGACTAACGGTCACTACTCACCACACATTAAATCAATAATTTGAGTCTGTTTTAATTTCAATTATTCATTTATTTTATTTTTTTGCTGCTATTGAAATATAAACTAACTTGATTTAATATATGAATTTGTTGCAAGTTTAAAAAAAAAAAATAATAACCCTGATTTTGTATTCCACATATAAATTTCCTAGACAAGCTAAATCGTATACAAACAAGCAATTAATGAAATATGATATTATTATAGCGTGTTCAAATTTCAAAATATACACACAAAAACGTAAGAGAGGAACACTCAAACATAGTCTTATAAATTATACAAACGATTAAAAAAATATGTTAGAAATTTAACCTCTTGTGATTATTTAATTTGTTATTAAAATAAAATTTATGATACTAATATGTGACTAAATATCCGTGAGACTACACTTTATTATCTTGACGACTCCTAATTATAATTAAAAATATATATTTTTTTCTTATATATTTTAATGATTCGATAATAAATATATAAAAAAAACGAGATCGTCAGATTAGATTAGTGGTTTCGGTTCATCCCATGTAGCTTTCGGAGACGACTTCACCCGGTAAGTGATGTTTCCAGGATCGAAAAAGGTACCTAGTGAATTTTCTAAGCTGCCTAAATTTACAATAAGTCGCCCCTTGGGCGGATTCGAGTTGTTGGGTTTGAATAAGAAATCCCTTTTCTTTGAAAGTCTGCTCGAGCTTTTCCCTCGCGATCGACTTCCTGGATTTCTTTCTCGATTGGTCCGCCTGGTCGTAGTAGCGAAACGCTCCGCCGGCGTCGACGGAGAGCATCTTCTTCTCTTTGAGCGTTGGCGTTGCGCCCCCGGTGAACTTGAACTTGCACATCGAAACCTGTGCGGCGGAATTCTGCGATTTCGCTTTCAGGTCCCTTATGCACAAGTTGAGCGGCTCGTCGACGATTGTCGTGCCGTAGTTTTTGTAGATGAGATGGCATATATCGGCCTTTTTTGGCTTCCTTCCTCTCCTAGGCCTCGCGTTGTCTAATGTCATCTCGCCCATGTAGGGCAGATCGGTGTAGCGGACTGTGGCCGGCGCGGGTGGGCTTGGCGGCTTACAGAGAGATGCTTCGTAGTGGTCAAGATACTCTGGGGGTAGGGCCTGATGGTGGAATTTCAGCTTCCAACGTCCCTTTCTCTTCCCCCTGTGAACAAAAACCTTATTAGAATATATGATAAAACCACGAAATTCAACTGATTTTCTTATATTTTTGTCAATTTTGTAAAACATTATTAACTAGACAAAAGGATTCATCTCTTTTATTTCAACATAATCAATCAATTGATAAAATTGGCACAATCCTCTTATCACATTTTGACCCCATCCTTGCATCAAAAGCAACTCACGACCACGTAGATCTAATTACCAACTGGTGCATACGGTGAGCATCAAGTTAAATGAACAAAAGAACCTGCACGTGACGTACCTTGATAAGAACTGAACGGAAGATATGGACAACTCAGACGTCTACTTGAACCCAAATCCACAATGAATACACCCAACAAACTAAGAAGTACCTTCCACCAGTTCACATACACTGTAATCTCCCTGTCCAATCAAACCCACTACCTTGGGTTCTACTTGTACAGCAGACTTACATGGAACATATACAAAAAAAGATAAGAACTGACCCGAAGATACGGACAACTCAAACACCTACTTGAACCCAAATCCTCAATGACGGTAAAGACTACCATTTGAATTTTTTAAACATGCTCCTCCCAATTTTCTCTGCGTGCTGTTATCCACTTTTAACGAAATATTTAATGGGGGGATATACCTTGTAGTTTTAAAGAAAGTACAGTCTTTCCACTGTACAAAAAAGGAAATAGAAATGATGTCTCAAACTACAGAGGGATCTCCTTCATTAACACATTTGGCAAGTTGTATTCGGGTTTGCTTTTAAACAGGATTAATGAATGGATAAATAATGATAACATAATTACAGAATCGCAAGCTGGGTTCCGTCAAAACTACTCACCCGTGGACAATTTTTTTAATCTAGTGAATTTAGTGAAATTGAAGCTTAGAATAAAGAGGCAAAAAGTATTCGCATTTTTGGTCGATTTCACGTCGGCATTCGACAGTATTGACCGACATTCTCTTATCTGTAAATTATACGATCTTGGTCTTACTTCTAAATTAATAAAGTCAATTAAAAATTTGTTATGCAATACATCTGCCAATGTGTGGTGTGTGGATGGGATCTCTCGAAAATTTTATACCGAAATGGGAGTGAGGCAGGGCTGTTTGCTCAGCCCAACACTTTTTTCATTATTTATTAATGATTTGGAGGCATGCTTAGATGGTGGTGTGTATGTGGAGGGTAGTGGCAGAATCAAGTTGTTAGCTTATGCAGATTTTACTCGCCTCACACCCTGCCTCTTTACAGGGAATGATCAGGTCTTTACAACAGTACTGTCTCAGATGGAACTTAAGAATAAATCTATGATTATGGTGTTCAGAAATGGGGGTAGACCTGCGAAAAGTGAGAGGTGGTATTTAGAAACTGAGGAGATAGAGGTGGTGAATGAGTATGGGAATCCGACTCACCCCGGCACTGTCAATGAACAAACATGTTACGGATGCGGTAGCAAGGATGAGACTAAATTCTATCTGGAGACCTCTTATAGATAACGGCGATATTGCGTACCCGACTAAGCTAAAAATGTGTAGAGATTAGTGACCGTTAATAGATAAATAACTAAGCTAAAAATATTTAACACAGTCAGCAGGTCTATTTTATGATACGGCGCTCAGGTTTGGGGAGGAGATATGTTGTTGTGACAATATAAAGAGACAATTTTACACAGCTTTGGCCAATTCAGACAGTTTCCCACTCCATAGAGAGCTTTTCAAATCCCCAAATTATCTAATGGATCTCTCGCTGATAGCATGCGGTGGATAATTAAGTGTCGGGGGATCTGTTTAACTTAAACTACAAACACTTCAAGCAGCAGGATGTGAACTTTGTAGTGGTACAGAGCGGGACGATTTGTTCCATTTCTTGGCAACTTGTCCTGCACTTACCGCTGTCAGGAAACACTATTTTGGTAGGGAAACTCTGTCTAGTGAAATTCTTCTAGAATATATTAATGGCAAGGTTTGGGCTGTCTTGGTAAATTTCTGCAAAGAGGCTTATTCTCTTAGAGCCAGAATCAGAGGCACCTGGTGAGGGTGGAGGCGGCTTCTTTTGTCGGATTCNACAAAAACCTAGACATCCCATTTGAGACGGACTTCATCCACACACGATTCACAACTTCCACTCTAAACTTTCCTTCCATACCAATCCACTAGTTCAAACCCTCTATTCAACGTCCTACCCTAACAATCCTCCACGCCGCGTAAAAAGACAGCCTTGTGACTTCAACCAATAATCCTAAACACTGAGAGTTCCAGCAATGGCGGCTTTTCCCCCATCCCTATCCTCCTAGTCTGACAGGTTCCTGCCCGATCTAAAATTGATTGTTACCAACAAGTTGTTAAAGTGAACAGTTTTCTAAAAAAACAATAAGAATTCTTTTTAAAAAATCAACGGACATACTCTAGGTAAAAGGTAGTAAAACCACAATAATTCTTAATTTTCTAAGAAGAACCACAATAAGCGAGGGGCGTCGGTGGCCGCAACGGTTTAGGCGTTCACACGCCGCTCTACACTGTAACGAAAAAGTCCCGGATTCGAATCCAGCGGCCAAGCATTCGAACCCGACATACTTAAAAATGGGCTTTTTTTCAAAAACACGGTACCCCGAGGGTTGATATAACCTAAAAAAACAAAAAAAAACAAGAGTTATAAATTAAAAAACAGTCAGGAATCATGCAAGTTTTAGGATATAACGAGCTAGAACTAGAAGGTTTTCGACAAACTTTTAATATCTTAATGGTAGGTCCTGTTTATTGTCCTTTGACTACATAGCCCGCTAATAGTATAATTGAACAATTACTGCCCTAGAGAGGACGTGCCTTACCAATTTTTCAACTGTACACTGTAGAGTCTACAACTTTTTTCATTACCCATTTTTATGAGAACGAAACATATCTAATTTTTTCCATTTTCGATGCTCGTTCATCGTTGACGTAATATTTTTCGTTGGCAAATTTTTTCAGACTTTTACTATTACTAATTTCCTTTTGAAATGACGTCGGAAGATTATTTTTTCTTTGGCGCGTTAGATGAAACTCTTCTCTAATGGATGGAGACCATCCAGGCGCACCTCGAATTCACTTTTGGAAATGTCGTGTGATAAATGTTGGTTTCTTTAACAGATGTCCAATGGTGAAATAGCGATGTAATTCGACGAGAGATCTCATCTTGACAAACCATGCCGTTCGTGACAAAAATGGGTTTGTCAAACACGATTGCAATACGAGCAAGATCGAATCGGATACAAAGAGGAAAGGGACCGATTTCTTCGTAACGGTAAAGTAACTTCAAATCAATTAAAATTGCTACAACACGACAGCAATATAACACCTGTTTTGAATGTTTGAAGCATCAACCACTTTTTCACACACGAACTCTCCGGAACAAAGTATGTATGGTCGTGAAGAAAAAAGCAAATTCAGTTATTACTACCAAGCTTTCGACGTACTTTAAGGTCATTATTCAAAACAATCTTAAGTATGTCTACAGAATGACATATTTATGTTTTTTTACAGGCGATCTCAAATTTCCTTGAAGACCAGCTCATTTCTCTTTTAGGGAGAAATTTTAGAAGGGAGAGCCGGTGTTCAAGGAAATTTGCGATCTGTAAAAAACTTAAATATGTCAATCTGTATACATATTTAAGATTATTTAACCCTGATGTTGACCTTAAAATAGGTTTTTAGCTTGGCAGTAACAACTGAATTTTCTTTTTTTCTTCAAGACTTCTATACACAAATTATTTTGCCGTCATTATGACCTTAAAATAGGTCATAACTTGATCCAGAGTATTCATGAACAATGAAACAACAACCAAAAAACCAAAAAAAATGTCCTTGTATGTAGCAAACTTTGATAAAACATTTCTATATCTCTCTCTTTCTCTCTCTCTCTCACTCTCTCTCTCTTTCCTTCTCTCTCTCTCTCTCTCTCTCTCTCTCTCTCTCACACACACACACACACACACACACACACACACACACTTTCTCTCTCTCATTCTCCATATCGCTCAGCACTCAATTTCTTTTTACCCTTTATTTAACGAGTTCCATACAACTATATTACACGCTTTATATCTGCAAGAGCAATACTTATTTCAAAACAAATTAATTTGTTAATGAAATTAATAAATGAACCTAACATAAATTGTTAGCATTCCATCAATGATACGAAATAAATGACAGTTCGTCATTGAACATGGTGCAAAGCCGAAACGGGTTTGAGTAATCCAAAAAATCCGCGAGAGAAGACCCTACACGGGTTCGACATAAATACCAAATATACAAGCATTTTCACGTTCAAAGGCTTCTTAAAGTATTAAAAAACCAAATCATTAATTAAAGAATAAAGAGGTAAAAATAATTAAGAAAAATCTGTTCCATAAAATCGTCAAAACTGAGCCCACAATCACCGGACATTCAATCACTCGACCACCCGTTGACATCATAAATCACAATCCTTTTCATTATTTTACTGTTCTATCTCTGTTCTACCCATCTAAATGCCAATCAATTTATATCTTCCTCATCCATTTCTTTTCACTCACTTTCTCTGTCTGATAATATTTCTGACTCTCACTCTCTCCAAAACGTCCTATCTATCACTATCCATTTAAGTGTTACTTCGCCTCCCTTTCTCACTCTATTTTTATCTGTACATTTATGTATCTATGTATCGATATTTTTATCTGCCATTTTTATTCTATCTATCTACTATCTCTATTTATATTGGGTAACTATCGTAAATTCCGTAAAGTTACCACTTACCTAACTATCAATCTTTTATGCAACCCTCTCTCACTTTCTCTCTCTCTCTTTCTCTTTCTATCTCTCTCCCTATCTCGCTCTCTCTCACTTTCTCTTTCTCTTTCTCCCTCCCTCTCTCTCTTTCTCTCTCTCTCTCTCTCTCTCTCTCTCTCTCTCTCTCTCTCTCTCTCTTTCTCTCTATTTTTTTTCTATCTATCGATATACCCTACAAGTGCACTAGAAACTCTGTTAAACCTACTTTCACTGTAAACATTTATGCAAGGAGAGACTAGGGAAAAATCACTTAAGCTCCAACAACAATCACATTGGATAGGAACTAAACAATTCGGCCCACAACCATAATTAATATAACCAGACAGATACTTAGAATAGAGGTCTGACTACAATCCCGGAAACATTCTTTAGAACATCCTACCAAGCTCAACGGCCTATAAAGAAGAAGGATGAACATCGGATTCAATGATATGGTTGGATAACGATGAGATGGCTTCAAAACAAACGAAGGAACCGGATCGGGTATTGTTTGTTCAAGCCCAAGATATGAGCAATCAAACTCATTAAGGAAGTACACTTCGATCTTTCAAGCAGAAATACATGCCATCAATGCTTGTGCCCTGGAAAATCTTAAAAGAGGTTACACTGGCAAAAAAAATCCTCATAAGATCTAATAGCCAAGCAACCATTAAAGCATTAGCTTGTAAAAGAATAACCTCGAAATTAGTCAGTGAATACATCCAAAATCTCCATAGCTTGGGGAAACATAACAACCTGATGATATCTTGGGTGCCAGGGCACAGAGGAATTTTGGGTAACGAGAAAGCAGACTGGCCAGAGGAGGATCTGCAAGACCTGCCCCGAACCTATTGTTGGGATAACAAAAACAAATATAGAATCCTCCATCGCAGAATGGATCCAAGCAAAACAAAAGGAGAAGTGGATAAACTCTAGCGGTGCTAGGGATAGTAAACTTATGATGAAACAATCCTCACCGAGACTGGCAAAAACAGTGCTGCAATTGGAGGGGGGCCAAACTCAGAGGAATGGTAGGACTACTAACCGGTCACTGGCATCTGAGAAAACATCTACACAACATGGGCATATGGCATAATGATCATAACGATGATCCCATTTGCAGATTATGTAATGAGGAGGAGGAAGTAGCCACCCATATCATTTTCGGCTGCGAAGCAACAGCTCAATGGAGATTCAACCTAACATACGAAAACGTAGGAAACCAAATTGTCGCAGCGACAGTCATCAGGGGTATTCACGATGTTTGTAAGTTAACCGTGTTAACTCGAATAGACAAATGTCCAGTAAAATCGGGAAAGCCCCCTTCTTTTCATAGCATGTTAAACGTTAATTTTTCCGCAAAGCTGCGCGGGGCGATTGGTAGATTAAAAAATAAAGCTATAACAGTCCTTGAAGGCTTGTTGGTGTTGGCCTTGGTTTTCTTTTGTGCTAAATTGTAAGATGCCAGAAGTTAATAAAAAAGGAAAATTAATCAACTCTTTTATTCAAAATCTGTGCACTCGAAAAGTACTACCAAATGACACGCATCAGTTCGTACCCACATACCTAACTTGCATCCTAACGTCTAACAGCCTACAACTTTATAGGATATAGGATGTATCTATTTGAATTAGGGTATAATTATAGGTCAGAAATTAAATAAGAAACGTATTGGTCTGATTTAATTAATGCATATTAAGACTAAAAATACGTGTAAACAAAATACAGCTGTTAAATTCATGGCTGCCATGTTGGTTACCTACGCCCTAACGGATAGCACTGTGACTACATTTTCGACCTAACATCTAACATTGGCCTTGGCCTATTAGATGTTAACTAGCCGATTCTTACAAATCTACATCATCGTTTTTTTCGATTTAACACGACCTAATAGAATTATCACAAAGTTCGTGAATACACCTAGGTTTTAAGTCCTACTGATTGTAAAAAAGAGAGGAGAGAGATAGAAAAAAACCCGTAAATTTTTCCTTTTTATTACCACGCATTCGACAATTTCATCCTTTTAATAATAACTAATCGGATTATTTTTTAATAATGTTTTACTTTGGTTGACGAGATAAACTTCATCGATAAAATTATCTAGTCCCCAAGCCAGAAAATTTAGTTACAGCATGAGAGAAACTGTACGAAACTTAGCACTTTTCTTCTTCCAAAATATACAAAATACATTCCAACTGGACAAAAATGTTAATAAATAGAAGAAGGAGACGACATTTTCGACCTAACGTCTCACATTGGCCGAATGTATTCGATCTAACATAATGTTAGATCGAAGAATGTTAACTAGACGATTTTTACAAGTCTATGACATAGTTTTTCTCGATCTAACAGGACCTAACAGACTTAACAGGGTTAACACAAAGATAGTGAATACCCCTAATGACCTGAAACTTCTGAGAAGAAGGATTGAGTCTGTTGCACTGAACTAAGGAAGTAGGAAGATGCAATAAGTCAGAAGCCTGCAGTGCCTGGGGAGTACAAACCCCGATTTCTAGTATCACCATCACTATCATCTCTATCTACTGTTTCTCTTTTGGTATTTATAAATCTATCTAATCGCCGATCTACCTCTATCACCCTCCTCTTTTTAGCTCACTTTCTTTCTCTCACCCTGCCCCTATTAAACTTAGATCCCCGATCTCACTAAGTATATGGGGTTTAAATAATTTTATTCAACATGTTCCATTGAAAATATTGCTGTGTGTGTTGCCCTGGTGTTGTTTTAGTTTTATAAGTTTAATTGTTCATATGGCAATCCGTGTAATATACCTTATTGATTTCGAACTTTCTGGACTGGAAGCCTCTTGATTTACGCCTTGCATCTGGAACAGAAAAAATCTTTTAACTAAATTATATATAGCAAATTACTAAACTAAAAAAACTTATATAGCAAATTACATCTATTCCAACGCGAAAGATACAAATGGCTATTAATGAACGGATCGATTAGAAGCCCCAATAATAAGTCATACGTAATGACCCGGGATTAGAAATTTTCAGTCACGTTCCTCGTATTACACGGAGAGAAAAAAACTCGCGGATGGGATTTTGATGGCGCGTGGGCGAGAATGGCCAACAAAGTTTGATAGAGTTATTAGCCGGGTGTTAAAACGCCAATGGAATGGAGGAAGGCATAGTTTCATGTGGCCAGGCCCTCGGACACGTGGGTGTCCAGGCTGTTGTCGGATGAGTCGGAACGCCCACAAATTTCGCCCAGGGAATGTCGCTTTTGCACATCCACGTCTTGTACAAATAAAAGACTCTATGAAAAGACAAAATAGTAGAAAAAATAGGCCAAAGACATTTCTGAAATATTTGAAGTTCTCAACACATTTTCTAATATTGATTTATTGCTTCACCTATGAACTTAAATTACAAAACGAATCATAGCAAGATGATAAAGTATGGCCAAAAAATTAGTAATTTTTTATTTTAAAATATAGTTTGTAAATTGTCTTAACATTTCGATCGGATCCTTGTACAAATGTATTGGCGCCTTCTTGGTTAAACATCAACCGGTTAAATATTTATGAAAATTACAACAGCGCCATGGAAAGATGTCAATTACGCCCGGTTCCGTTGATTCTAATTTATTCTCTATAGTAACGAGTTATGATCCGGGAATAGACGGAGTTGCAATCATGAACTGACAGAACGCACCCGGTGTACATCTTCGGTCTTAACGCGAAGGAAGAGATTTCCTGTCTGTTTAAATCGTGAACAAAGTGAAAAATGGCAAAAAGAGGGAAAATTAAAAAAAGTTGGGGTTGAGATGGGAAGTTAGTGTCCGAGTGGATCGAGGTCACGATAGCTTAAGTGGTAGAGCAGCGGCGTATCAAGCCGAAGATCGTGGGTTCGAATCCTGCTCGTGCCATTGACTTTTTTATCTCAACTAAAAACCTTAATTAATTGAAATATATAAATTGGTCAAGCGGACCACGAAATTAGTGAAATTAATAATGAATTGAACAAAGTGTTTGCAGTTAATTACTGGACATGGGTACGAATTAATCATAATAACAACGAAAAATAAAACAATAAATTCTTATTTAATTCAATTTATTATCCTTTTCATGTAAGGTCTTGGTTGAGATAAAAAAGTCAGTGTCACGAGCGGGATTCGAACCCACGACCTTCAGCTACTTCACGCCGCTGCTCTACCACTTGAACTAGATTTCGATATTCTCGGACACCAACTCTCCATCTCAACCTACAACCGTTCAAATTTTCCCTCTTTTTGCAATTTTTCAAATCTCGTGGTAATCAGGATTTGATTATCAGCAACTTATGAAGTGACCACGGGGAGCTGTTAGTGAAGTGATACTTCTTTTACTTATTAAATATTAATCCATTTATGTTTTAGTGGTCTAATTGGCCAAGTTACTTCTTTCAATTAATTATTCTTTTTATGTAAGGTCTTGGTTGAGATAAAAAACTTAATCCTGATTACACGACATTTGAAAAATGACAAAAAGAGGAAAAATTCGAACGGTTCTAGGTTGAGATAGAGAGTTGGGTCCGAGGGGATCGAAGTCACGATAGCTCAAGTGGTAGAACAGCGGCGTATTTATCCGAAGATCGTGGGTTCGAATCCCGCTCGTAACACTGAATTTTTTATCTCTACCAAGACTTTACATAAAAAGATTAATAAATTGAAAGAAGTAACATAATCAATTAGACCACAAAAACATAAATGAAATTCTTATTTAACATTAAATAACACATTTTATTAAAGAGACTTACACAAACAGTCTTTTTTCTTTTTTTCTTCTAATTTTCTTCAGGAATCTCAAGAAAGCTGAAGCATCTTTCTTCTTACTTTCACAAAGTATTTTAAAATTTCTTAAATGTTAAAAATGATCGAAAGGTCTTTTCCTTAATAATATATTTTATCTTGTCTTTTTCCTGGCTGCTTGTCATAGTATTTTTTACAATCATTTGAGTACTGCTCGACTTGCCGAGAGGTATATTTGCATCTTGGTCGTTTCTTTCTCTCGATGAAAATAACTATGATTGATTCATTTATTATTCTCTCTTTTCTTCCATAACAAACCTCTGCCCGCTCTTTCATTATGTGATTTTATCTTGTGTCACAATTTTATTGTATATGGGCGTGTTTGAAACCGTTACTTAGCTTGGAAGTTTATATCTTTTTTCTCTTGTTTATGAAAAATATAGCCTTCCTTTTTTTTCACTGTTATATATTTGACACTTATGAGCAGGCCTAAGAATAAAGCTGTTTATGGCCATTGGTACTTTTTTCGCTCTTCATCCTTATAAATATTTTTGTTTTCTGTTGTTTACAAGACCAAGATTCAACCAGTATTCAATACGATTTAATTTAGGTCCTAGATCATTAACTTCTTAATGAAAGTAACATCTATCTATTTTTGCTTTCTGCGTCCAACTACTTAACTATCTCACTGCCTCCTCTCTCTCTCTCTCTCTCTCTCTCTCTCTCTCTCTCTCTCTCTCTCTCNTCCATCACTCTATCTATCTACCTATCTGCTAAGTGTATGGAAAGATAGTGAAATAATTATAAAAAATAATTCACTAGTTTTCGTGGTTCACTTGACCAATTAATATCTTTCAATTACTAAGGTTTTTAGTTGAGATAGAAAAGTCAGTGTCACGAGCGGGATTCGAACCCACAACCTTCGGCTAGATATGCCGCTGATCTAACCACTTGAGCTATCGTGACCTCGATCCACTCGGACACTAACTTCCCATCTAAACCCCACCTTTTTGAATTTTCCTTCCTTTTTGCCTTAAATTAATTAATTGAAAGATATTAATTGGTCAAGCAGACCACGAAAACTAGTGTATTTAATAAAAATAAGTGTTTAATTTTTTATATTTGTCTATTCAAGGCAACATTTTTATCTCGAAGGTAGTGGAATATGGTCCTAGAGAGTGAATTAATTAAGGTTTTTAGTTGAGTGGATCGAAGTCACGATAGCTCAACTGGTAGAGTAGCGGTGTATCTAACCGAAGGTCGTGGGCTCGAATCCCGCTCGTGACACTGACATTTTTATCTCAACTATAAACCTTAATAAATTGAAAGATATTAACTGATGAAGCGGACCGAGAAAAATAGTGAATTTAATAAGTTAAAATTAAGTATACTTCACTAAAGCTCTCCGTGGCCATTGCATTTTTCGCCGAGAATCAAATAAATTACAGGACATTTGAAAAATGGCAAAAAGGAGGGAAAATTCAAATGTGAGGTTGAGATGGGAAGTTAGTGTCCGAGTGGATCGAGGTATCTATTTTACCACGATAGCTCAAGTAATAATAATAATAATAGCGGCATATCTAGCCGAAGGTCGTGGGTTCGAATCCCGCTCATGACACTGACTTTTTATCTCAATTAAAAACTTTAATTAATAAAAAATAATCTGCCTGTCACTTTCTCTCTCTCTCTTTCCTCTTTTTGCGCTATCTCTTTCTTTCTCCTTCTATCTATCTTTCTGGCAAGTGTATGGAAAGATACTAAAATAATTATAAAAAATAAACTCACTCTAATGTACCTTTTTTTGTGCCTGTCAGTTTCGTTCTCTCACTCTCTCTCTCTCTCTCTCTCTCTCTCTCTCTTTCACTTTTTCCCTAATAAAATAAAATGACATCTTTTGTTAACAAAAAACCTGATGAAGAAAATACGTAATAATAATAAATTGTGAAACATGACTCTCTCTCTCTTTCTCGTTCTCTTTCTTGTTCTCTCACTCTCTCTCTCTCTCTCTCTCTCTCTCTCTCTCTCTTTCTCTCTCACCTCTCTCTCTCTTTCTCCCTCTCTCTCTCACTCTTTCTCTCTCTCTTCGTTCTCTATTTTTCTTTCAGTTTTCTCTCTTTGAGGAGACTTACGAACTACTTTTTTCGTCGTATTTTCCTGGCCACATTTCCAATCGGACCATCTGGCCAATGGATGAAGTGGAATACAAACATCCAGATGGAAATTACAGGCCCAACCCCGTACCCGTTTTACGTAGGGGATTTTTCCTTAAATTGGCACATTATATTTCCACTCAACCAAACGTATTTTTCTTCTGACATAACCCGAAATTAAAATTTCGTATATCAATCGTGTTCCACTAAACATATAGGCACAAAATCAATACAAAGATTATCTTGTTTACTGAAACACGCAAAAATGGAACGGATAAAATATCCACTAAAACGCAGCGGACATAGGAGAACCGGGTGAAAACTAATCACAATCCGGACGTGGGCTTTCAAATATTAATTGATTTAGAAAGCTGACGTACAAAGTACAGTTTTCTAAACAGAAAACTACATGTATTAAGATGGTTGTATTCCATTTTTTAAGATCTCCGTGTGAATTTGTTTGTGGAAAATTTGTGTGGGACGATTTGTGGGTGACATCACGTTTTCTCGAGTTTTAAGTAATCATCATCTAAATACCGCTGAGTCAGAAGCGAGACACTTAGCATCTCTGTAAATAATTATCCTAACAAAAGGGCGAGTCCGAGGGGAAGGTGGAACGTTGGTTATTTAAATTTTATGTAAATCAAAAACGGACAGTCTGCTCTGGAGGCCTGTGTAAGCAGCTTTCGCGTTCCTTCGAAAAGTGTTAAAAACATGGTAGAACTGTGTCACAGATTTGTCGGTGAAAAGCCCTCGGGTTATTCACACCCTTGGCTCGTAATAACTCGTGTCCCATTCTCGAATTAATTGGGTGAGGAAATTTGTAATAAGAATGTTCGTGTTTTCTGACTGATCCGCTTTAATTAGACTCCCACTGCTATTATATTTGCGCAAGATATGTTAAACGCGTTGCGTAAAACCCTACAGGATGTAGGAA